AAGATCCCCTTACTGGTCAAAAAGAAAAAAAAGAAAATTTGTCAAAGAAAGGTACTCTGGACAAAAGCAAAAAGATACTTTTTTTTTTCCAGCTAAAATATTTACACAATTTAATTTTTTAAAAATGGAATTGTGACTATCCTCTATTTAGCTCTTAGTTTATGAGGTATTTCGGCATCTGTTAGAGAGAATATTTTATTAATTTTTTATATAGTTTACAGAGAACAGTCAACTGAAGATATCAACAGTTCCAAATATATTAACTATAACATGCAACTCTGAAGAACACTTTTATAAAAAAATAAAAATAAGACCATATTAAAAAAAAATATATATATTCTTTCGAGAAATACCAGAAAAATATTAGATATAGATATGAATAAGAAACTAATCAAGTACATGAATAGATATCAAGACTAAATATTTGGCTTATTATATCTTTTTTTTTTTCCTTTTTGTCTTTTTTCGTGACCGGCAACGGATCGCAACCCTCAGTGTCACGTCCGTACCGGACCGGGACCGGCAACGGGATCGCAATCCTCGGTGTTGCACCCGTACCTCGCTCAGCCAGTGAGCGGCTGGTCTGTATGTGGGATCCGAACCCTCGGCGGGAGCGCCGCCGCGCTCCCAAGCGGAGCACTGTAGCAGTTCGCCACCGGGCCGGCCCAAACCAGAAAAATATTAGATATAGATATGAATAAGAAACTAATCAAGTACATGAATAGATATCAAGACTAAATATTTGGCTTATTATATCTTTTTTTTTTTCCTTTTTGTCTTTTTTCGTGACCGGCAACGGATCGCAACCCTCAGTGTCACGTCCGTACCGGACCGGGACCGGCAACGGGATCGCAATCCTCGGTGTTGCACCCGTACCTCGCTCAGCCAGTGAGCGGCTGGTCTGTATGTGGGATCCGAACGCTTGGCGGGAGCGCTGCCGCGCTCCCAAGTGGCGCACTGTAGCAGTGCGCCACCGGGCCGGCCCTCGGCTTATTATATCTTAATGCTCAGATGATTAACATAAAAATGCATATTTTATTTTGCTTTAATGTACACAGATATATTATTTTAATTTTTAAAGAAAACCTTATTTTTGAAAATGGTTTTAGAATGGAACTATTTTTCTGGGGCTAGCAATATAGTAAAACCAATTAGTGCATCAATAAATTTGCGGGTCAAAATGTTATACAAGTTTAGTTATTTTTATACTACCTTTTACTTTCAGGAATGTTTCAGTGACAATAAAGCAATATGGCGACTCTAATTCTACAACAAATTACATCACTGCTGACATTACATTAACTGTGAATTTAGGTGAATTTTCAAAACCTGTTTTTGGATAATTCAGAACAGCTACTTCTGCCTGTCTGATCAGCATATAGAAACAAAGCTGTGTTGGGACACAGAAGTGGGGCTGAGTCCCTAGAGATGCGGCTCACTCGAGGACAAACATCTCCAATGAGAGAAGGCTGAAATTCATGCATTGCAAAATTACACATCACTACATGAGACAAACATCAGAGCACTAGAGAATGAATAGTGGAAACCATAAATAGAAAATGCTCAAGTACAAGCAGTAACGAAAACAAGAGTATTCATTTACAAATGCCAGGTACTGTGCTAGGCTTGGCCCTTTATATATACTATTTCATTCGGCTGTCCACAATTTTGTAGGTAGCATTACCCTTGTTTTATCAAGGAGAAATCTGAGGCCCAGAGAAATGTAATAACTTACCAGCATCACACAGCTGCTGTCTTAACCAGGGCAGGCTGCCATATAAAATACCATAACCTGGATGGCTTAAACATCAGAAGTTTATTTTTTCACAGTTCTGGAGGCTAAAAGACCCAGATCAAGGTGCTGGCCCATTTGGTTCCTGGTGAGGGCCTTATTCTTGTCTCGTAGACATCCACCTTCTTGCTGTGTCCTCAGTGTCAGAGAGAGAGAGGGTGATCTCTCTCTCGTCTCTTCTTATAAGGACACTAATCCTATCTGATCAGGGTGCCAGCCTTTTGACCTCATCTAATCTTAATTACCTCTATAAAGGCCCTATCTCCAAATACAGTCACATCAAGGGTTGGGGCTTCAACATATGAGTTTGGGGGTGGGGGCACAAACATTCAGTCAATTACAGCTGGTAAGTGGTGGGGCCAGGATCCACAATTACATGACTATAAACTCCCAAAACTTCTACACTTCATTAAAAGCCTTTCTACTTTTATTATCTTGCAGGTGATTTGGGGACAAGGAGAGCTACAGACAAGTGCTAACTGCTGACTGATAATTAGGATCACCTGCTTTGAAATTTTTACATTATATAGGGCCAGCCCGTGGCTCACTCGGGAGAGTGCGGTGCTGATAACACCAAGGCCATGGGTTCGAATCCTATATAGGGATGGCTGGTTCGCTCACTGGCTGAGCATGGTGCTGACAACACCAAGCCAAGGGGTAAGATCCCCTTGCCGGTCATCTTTTTTAAAAAAAAAAAGAAGAAAAGAAAAGAAATTTTTACATTATATAATACCTCTTACCATTCTAGTTTACTATCACAACAGATGGCATTTACTTTGTAGGGGCATAGCTCAAAAAATAAGGTTTGGAAAACTCTACATATAGAAAATTGTGTATTAAAATTTTTACCTATTGTTTTAATAAAATACTTCAGTTTTAAGTCAATCCAACCTGAATAAATCCAATCTGCCTTATCACTTGGTACAGAAATAGCATTCTAGATTGCCAATTGTTTATTTTTCTGAAAGAGTTGGGGACTCCTTACCATTGTAGAAATCAAGGTAGCAGAGATTCTTAAGAATTTTAACTTTGAACCTTAATTTTTACAAGAAAGGTCTTATATTGTGATACTTTGATAAGAAAATTCTCAAATTTCCACATATAGGAAAAGACAATAGAGAAACAACAAAGAGAGCTGCTTTTTGTTCTTTTCATTATTAACCTATTAAGATTGATATCAAACAAAAAAAAACAAGAACACCTGCTAATAATCAGGTGCTTTCACGTTTTCTTTCAGCATTTTAAATGTTGTTCCACTATCTTCTGGCCTCCATGATTTCAAAAGAGAAGTTGGATGTTAATCTTATCGTGGCTCCTTTGCATGGGATGTTCTCTTTCTTTCTGCTTTTGTGATTCTCTGTCTTTCAACAGTTTGACCATGACTAGGTCAAAAGAGATTTCTTGTTGTTTATCCTACTTGGAGTCCATTGAGCTTCTTAGATGATGTAGATTAATATTTTTCATCTGATTTTAAGGTTTTTGGCCATTATTTCTTAAAATATGTTTTCTGACTCTCTCCTCTCCTGGTACTTTCATTACACATACGTTAGTATGCGTGCTGGTGTCCCACAGGTCTCTGAGACTCTGCTCCTTTTTCTTATTCTTTTTTCTTTCTGTTCTTCAGCTGGATAATCTCTATTAATCTATCTTCAAGTTTACTAATACTTTTGCCAGCTCATATCTACTACTGAATGTGAATTTCTCATTTCAGTTACTGTACTTTTTAACTCCAGAATTTCTATTTGATTCTTTTTTATAATTTAGATCTCTTTATTAATATTCTCTTTGTGAGTCATTGTCATAATTTCTTCTAATCTTTAAAGGAAAGAATTTTCCTTTAGTTCTTGGAACGTATTTATAAATACTTTAAAGTCCTTGCCACTAAGAACCAACATTTGGGTCCTCTCAAAAATAGTTTCTATTGTCTCCTTTTTTTCCTGTGTATTAGTCACATGTTCATGTTTATTTGCATATCTCATAAATTTTTGTTAAAAACTAGAAATTTTAGATAATATATTCTGATCCTTGCTTCCAGCTTGTTGTCGCTTTTTATTTATTTAGTGACTTGCCTGGACTGATTCTGTAGAGTCTGCTTTCCTCAGCAGTATGTAGCCTCTGATGTCACTGCCCAGTTTTCTCTTTTTTTTCTTTTTAATTTTTGCTTTCTGAGAGGCTGCCCTGGGTTGGCATAGCTTAGTTGCCAGCCAAGGACTGGTCAGAGGTTTTGCTTAACATTGGGTCTGTGTGTGGCTTGGGAGAATGCTTTCAAAGTTCAGGGAGTTTACCAGTCTACCCTGTGTTCAGCCAGGGACTTGTAGCTTGCCAAGGGCCCTCTGTGCTCTCTTCAGAGCAGGTGTAGCTTTGCACATGCACACAGTTTCCTGGACCACGAGTGTAATTTTAGTAGGGCCCACTTTAGCTATCTCTTTCCCTGATTTCCCTCAAAGACTTCTGGCTGGTCTGCCATTTTGTTGCTTCCTACAACATTAGCTTTACCAGATTGTTTGCCAATGAGATCCCTATTATTTCTGACAACATCCCTGGGCATGGATTTTTTCTGAAGCTCTGCTTTAAATAAAGTCATCTCTCTGACAGGACAGCAAAGCTACCGGTCCTTATGGTTTGCTCTGCCTGCCCAGGGTAGAACTTAAGGGACTACAGAGCTAGGGAAAGGATGGGAGTAGATCTGACTAAAATGCCACAGACTGTCACTGATCTTACTAAAATTCAGTAGCTTTGCTTCAATAAATGCTTCTCAATTTATGTTCTTTGGTTAATTTCCGGAGACCTTAAGTAGATTTTTTTTTTTATAGTTTTTGTGTAGTTTTATCATTCCTTTCTGGGGAATGGATTTGCTGGGCTCTTCACATATTCTAAGAGTGCTGCTCCTACATTTTATTTTGAACTGTGTTTTCATTTTTGTTTTTTAACCTCATAATGTTCTAAAGATCAAGAGCAAATATTGAAAAGAACCATCTACTGGACTTTGAAGCCCCCACTGAGCAGACAGGGGTAATCCAATAAATTTAGAACCACGAAAGGAAAAACCTCCCTAAAATCAGGACCAGAATTTGGGTCTCAACACCTTAAGGATTCCTCAACATTCCATACTTACTCTTAAAGACTAGGTAAAATAGGTCTCCAGGCAAAGGCAAGATTAGAGGCTAAATAAAGGGATCACACTCAGTAAACCCTGAAGTCACCCTACCTGGGCTCGCTCCTCATCAAACTCCAGGCAGCCCATACCATCCAGTCTCTGAAGATCAATCCAACCTTTCCAGATAACACAGACTCCATTCAGAATCATAGGAGCCTTCAAATATACCTAAGATACAGAAAAGAAAGATGAAAACCATTGAAAAAACATCAGACGCATGAAAATCAAAGGATTAAGCTTACTCATGTAAACCCTGTAGTTTTTTTTTTTTAAATAAAAAGATGAACACAATTATAAAATTAAGAATTATAGGAAAGTATATATATAAACCACAGCCTTTGACCATATCTATAAATTAAGCTAATCTGGTTTACTAGAATTTTATTTCAAGTCATAATTCTTCCAGATTATTTTTAGAAGGAAGTTTAACAGGATTTGTAAAAACCATTTTTAGTAAGGTGATGCTTGAAGTAGACATCTTTGTCTACTCTTCCAGATGAAGCTAGGACAATCAGATATTTTGTCCGATTTCTGAATCTTGGGTAGAAAGATATAAAGAAGGAAAACAACTGGAATTAAATGTCCTCTGAAGAACACAAGCTGCTTCCCTCAACTTGGATCTCTGCAGCCACCCAGGGTCAGGCATGCACACTTCCCTTCAGTTTTATAAGCTACTATAATTTCCTGATAACTAATCCTTTTTTCTTTTTCTTTTAAACTTAAATTAGCCAGCGTTGATTTCTACTGCTTTTAACCAAAAAAAATTTAACTGATACAACATTTACAGCCATATCACATTAGATAATGTTGTTTATCCTTAGGTGTCCATAAATAATCCAAGGCAAAGCATTGCTATCTTTTATGTGGAATTTAATTCAAACTATTTCATGGTCTTTTAAATATAATAGAAAAGTTTTAAGGTCACAAGGTTTGACTATATACAAGAGCAATCATTTGTCTAGAAACTGATAAGCTAACCCCAAATCTGGTTATTTTAACTCATTCTTAAAATTCTTAAATACTATAAATTAACAAAATCAATTAAAATTTAATAAAATCTTTTAAAAAATCAAGCATCTTGAATTCTTAGTAAATAAGAATGTTTATTCCTCACACAATACTCTTAGATGATAAAATTAGCCAGACTTCCTACATCACATCCAACAATTGTACCTTCTTATATGTTAGAGAAATATCTATAATGAGTATCCTGGGATGCTATAACATTTCAAGTCAGTGACAAATTAAATATGTTCACTATTCTTTATGCAATGAGGTTAAAAAAATGAATAAATTTTAGAAAGATCTTCAAAACTGCTGAAACCAAAAGTACCTCTCATCTGGTAAATCTTTAGTTTTATCAGTAAAACTACATTCTTCAACAAAGAGTCTTGGAAACTTCCTGTTTTTGAAGATGTTTAATAAAAATAGTTGATTGCCAATAATTAGATTTCATAAAATCTAAGCTTCACAGTTTTATTAACTTTTCTTCTGCAAAAAATAATCAATTTCTTCATCATTCATTTTCATGTAAATAAGTAACCCTAGAGCAAAAGTCACTTTAGATAATGATTTCCAAATTCAGATCATTTTTGATCACCAAATTAATTCTCATATTGGCTTAAAATATAATTGTTCTCAATAGTTATAAAGGATCCATCTAGAAAGGATGGCACTAATGCTATCATCTTGACGTGAATATTTTACTGTGATACAGGTAAGAAATATAAGGAGAATTTTATTAGTTCCTACAATCTCCCCCACCTTAACACCAGAACATACTAATAGTTACTTTTTAAAAACATTTTAGGTCTTCAGTACTTCATTCGAATTCTGAATAAAAATAGACATAAGGGCCGGCCCGTGGCTCACTTGGGAGAGAGTGGTGCTGACAACACCAAGTCAAGGGTTAAGATCTTCTTACCGGTCGGTCATCTTTAAAAAAAAAAAAAAAAAAAAAAAAAAAGGCGTAGATTTTTATCATTTATTGCCTTGAGCAAGATTTTTAAAATGGAGAGGAAGCAGGACTTCAATCCATTTTCAGGTAATCAAATACATCTATATAAATGAGGTTTTTCATTTATCTACTCCAAGTACACTTTCTTTGTATAATCCCAGTGCTTTGTGAGCTAAAAACTGGCATTATTTATTCCTGTATAATTATATGAAATTGGTAAGATAGTTTTTCATTTTAAGGAAAAAGCTAGAAGCACCATTTTTTTTTCATTACTCAATTTAGCAGTTTCTTCAACAAAGAGTTTTGGAAACTTCCTGTTTTTAAAGATGTTTAATAAAAATAACTGACTGCCAATAATTGTAAATACGTTAGAAAAATTACTCCTGAGATACCTGTAAAATAAAACCTATAGCATTTAAGCCTTCCTAGTTTGTATTTATATTGTTCCCCTTCACGACTAAACACAACCATTTTTGCTAAGAGTTTCAATAAACCACGTTGAAATAACTTCTACTTACATTGGGGAAAAACCCCCAAAACATTAATCTCCATTTCTCCTCCCATTTGGACAAAGGGAAATGGTCTACAGTTATAGCTGAAACCGTTTAACCACACATTTCCTTCTGTTCTGATAAGTGCTCATTCCCTTCCACATTGTGAATTTTAAACTCCACCAATGAGCACCTACTCAAACAAGTGACTGACAACCTCATGCTCAACACTTCATAAAACCTAAAACCAATATCCCTCTATACTTCATATCAATATAACTCGACTTACCACATCTCTAATGAAGATTTCCACCTACCTTTCTAACAGGTGGAGGAGCAGCATGCAGTGGGGAGTATAACATTTCACCTATCAATGTACCTCATTATTTTAAATTCTCATACTAATCATGAATAGAACTCTTCTCATCTAATAGCAGAAAAAGGTTAACTTCATACCACTTTAATCAGATTTTATACTCTTCATCAATGGTTTATATCTTTTAGAACTGAAGATTCTATAATCTCTTAGCTTATTCATATTAATGTCCATAGTAAAAAATATTTTCCATATGAAATTACTGAATTTTTAAAAATCCAGGCCAGCCCGTGGCTCACTCGGGAGAGTGTGGTGCTGATAACACCAAGTCAAGGGTTAAGATCCCCTTACCGGTCATCTTTAAAAAAATAATAATAATAAAAATAAAAAATAAAAATCCCATTTATTATTTCCTTATAAATGTTTCTCTCAGGACAAAGAAAACCACTTTTTTTTTTTGGCGGCTGGCCGGTATGGGGATTTGAGAAATTCCTAAAAGGCTTCAGAAAATGGCTACAGTTCTTAATCAAGACTATTCAAATTAATATTTAGATGATCCTAGTGATTTATTAGATGTTCATATTCAAGTAAATACAATTTTATGTGTAGACTTTCAAAGTAAATATTTGGTGCTTTCATGCGTTAATGAATACCAAACCTCAAAGTATGAAGAAAATAAAATTCTGTGTCTTAACATTTTGTAATGTAATTCAATAATGTCATTTAAACACAGACAATTTTCACTAAAAATGATGCCTTATTTCAAGCTTTGAAAAAAAACTTATTAAAATATGCCTAGGGATTAAATCCATTGTCCTAGAGTAATGAAATATTTTACACAAAATGGATTATATAAAGCCTTTAAAATGGGTATGCAGCTAATCACACATGAAAACAACAAAAAAGCTTCTCTTTCCAAAAGGAAAATATCGCAGAATGTGTTTGACCCTACAAAGAAGGTTAAAAGTAACTACAGTCTTACATTTTGTGTTCTTCTGGAAAATTAAGGTAAAAGTCATTTTAACACAATTTTTAATCAATTCATGCTCTAAATATCAGCATTTGTGATGTTACTTACATTCAATCCAAATTACACGATATATCACTTTACTTTCACATTCTGTAGCTTTAAACTCCCTGTCACTCAAGCAGTGGAATTTCAGCAAAAACATGTTTATACATCAACTGTAGTATTATCCATACAATGATATATTTGGTCATAAAAAGGAATAAAGTATTGATACATAACATGCATCCTTTAAAACATAATACTAAGTGAAAGCAGCAAGAAAAATGCCACAGAGTAGATGAAATGTCCAGAATAGGCAAATCTAGAGAGAGAAAGGAGATTAGTGGTTGCCAGGGACTGAGAGGAGGGGAGAATGGGGAGTGATTGTTAATAGGTATGAGATTTCTTTTTGGGATAATGAAAATGTTTTGGAATTAGATAATGATAATGATTTCACAACTCTTCATATACTACAAATCACTAAATTGCACACTCCAAAAGAGTGAATTTTATGGTATGTGAACTATATCTCAATAAAGCTGTCATAAAAAATGTTTGCAAACACTTTTATCTGTTTCCTAAGTAACATCTGTGAGATATCCAAAAGGAGATTTTGAGTTGGCAGTTACATATGGGATCCTAGCATTCTGAGAAGAGACTTAGGCTGATGTTGTAAATCTGGCAGCCATTAACAATCCTCTGGCATTCAAATCTGGAGAAAAGGAAGAGACTCCCCAGGGAGTAAGTAGGAGAAAAGAGGGGGACCCAGAAAGAACCTGGAGGAAGTCCAACTTTTAGATGTGTAGAAGAACCCAGCAGAGTGAGCTATGTACAGCCAATGATGTAAGAGGAAAACATAAGGAGCTAAAGGTTAAATTATAAGCCCCCAAGTAAAAATTTCCCATTGTTGGCTACATTAGATATCTAAGTATTATGAGATCTTACATCACTCAGTTTTTAGCACGGCTATTTAAGGCAAGAGTTCTTAATCTGGAGTTCAGAGAACCTACAGGGATTTGGGTTAATGTGTAAGTTTCTAGAAGACCAGAAACAACCTGAAACTCTATGTAAAGATGTATGTGTTTGGGCCCATAAACGTTTTTCTAAGGAAGTTCTTTGCCTTCATTAGATTCTCAAAGGGGTATAAAAGGCAAAAAAGATTCAATTATGATAGTAAGAACTCCATTCTTCCCCTTTTCTTTTTTTTAATTTTTTAAATTTTTTTTATTCCTTTTTGTCTTTTTTACTGACCAGTAACAGGAAAGCAACCCTCGGCGTCGCGCCGCCCCGCACCGGGGACTGGCAACGGGATTGCAACCCTCGGTGTTGCGCCCGCACCGTGCTCAGCCAGTGAGCAGGAACCGGTCTCCACATGGGATCCGAACCCTCGGAGGG